AATAAAATATTCAGTATAGACACTCAGTCTTGCTGCGTTAGAAATGAGTTATCGAAAAATTTTATTTTTTCAACAAAATACCGATAAACCAGAGCATTTTTTAAAATTTTTTTTTTATCGAAACTTCGTTTGACTGGGCTTATCTTTATACACTGATTCTTTTTTTTTTCAAACTTTGTTTTAAATTACTTTTAATATCAAAATAATGCTTTGAGATAAGGGTTCTAGATACTGCAACTGTTTGATATGATTTCATTTTTTAAACACGTTTTTGTTTTCATGTACCTTAGTTTTACTCATGTTTTTCAGAAAGCCATATCTGAAAATATTTCCTTTTATACACTGTGCATTAAATTAAATTCACTATTTATATTTTATAAGATAACTTTTATATCTTAAAATATACATAGGTGTTTGTTTTCTGAAAAATTATATTTGGTTTTCAGATTATATATATGTATATGCAGTTTATAATTTTATTTAGCTTATCTGTTTGATTTGTCTTTTCATGAAAAAGACATATAATTGCACTTTTCTTTAAGTAATATATTTTACAAATAAAACAATGACTTGATTCTGCTAATTTACTAATTAAAAACTTGTTTAAAAACGAAGCTTTTTAAAATAAATTTTAAAAAAGGTGTATATTTGTCTTTAGAGATTAATTTTTAATAAAATAAAGTATGATTTGAACTTATATTATATTTAGATCCATATAGCTTAAAAAATATTTACATCCTCAAACACAGTTAAGAGCTAAAAATATACCAGAAGTTATATACGGCTTCATTAAGCTATATAATGTAAAAAATAATAGGGTCAAAACTACTAGAATATGGTAAAATTTATCTTATATCTGGTTAAATGGAAGCACCAGATATCTCGGTAATTTTTACCAAAGCACTTTAGTTATGACTTTTATAAAAGTAACAATACATTATGTTCTTATGTCAAGTGATAAAATTTGGTGAATGTGGTGAAATCTTTTAATTTCATTATGATGCTTTAGTTCATAAAAACTATCTGTTTGGATAAATACACTTTTTAGATTTGTAACTTCTACTAAAAGTGTGGTAAAAAGAACATTTTTTTTTTTTTGAAAATCAGAATTTCTTATAAACCATTACCATGTGAGCAGAAAATTGCCAAAAGGGAATGGTTTAAATACCTTATTTTTATTTATTTATTTATTTTAGCAGAAAAGTCATTACCATACATGTGAAGTAATTTTACACGAATTTTGTCTTCTCCTCTAAGAGCGTTTTCAGTTTGATTTCAAATAGTTTTTAAATAACTTTATAGCTTGAAGTTATTAAAACTTTAGTTTTAGTCCAGTTGATAAAATGAGAAATTTTGATCTTCACAGAAAGAGCAACCTATCCCAATAATAATAAGGGCACTATACATTTCCCCCCGACAACAAAAATATTAAAAAGAATATGTTTGAGCAAATACTATATATAAAACGATAGATGTGTGTATGATAATTGGAAATTCAAATATTACTATTTTGTCGAAAAATGGAAGAAGATATAATATCGTTCACGAAACAATCATAAATGGACTACGTAATTTCATCACAGATCATCAAAGATGGAGAAGATCATTATCAAGAGAGATTCTTGCTCTTGAGACTCATCAAGGAACGAGTTTTATGCGTCCCTTGAGAGGTAGAGTAGCAATCACGGAGAGATAAACAAAGGCTCTGAATTAAGGCACTATTACAATATGTCGTTCAAAAGAAAACGATTAAATTGTCATGAAGATGTTGATATAATGTCTTTTCTGTTGGAATTTGGTTTCTAAATGATAAATTTGTTTATATGCGTGTTTTTAAATCGATAATAAATTTTTTCTTCGCTTTAAAAATTCAGACGCATAATGGAAATCTAAAATTCGTTAAAAATAATATTAAAGTAGATATTAATAAAAAATAATATCAATAATTTTGAAAATTTTATGTGGTAGGGGAGAGTGGGGTCAATTGTAACAGGGTACGATTTTAACAAAGCAAAAATTTCGAGTGTCGCGTTCTAGATTTGGTTCCTAGGTGGCGCACAAGGTGTACTTAATAAATCTACATGTACACCCCTGCTGGCAACCATTTTTATGTACTTTTAAAAGAGTTACATCACAAAAGATATTTTCACGCTACGTAAGTACTTTTTTTTGGTATTAGAATATTATATTGTAACAAAGTAATTTTGTTTAAACAAATAAAAATTATTAACCAAATATGTAAGTGGACACCTTAATTAACATTTCAATAAAAAAATTAGTTTTGTTAATTAACTAGCATTGTTTTTAACAAATGAAGCTGAAATGGCGTCTTGGGGACGATTGTAACAATAAGTAAAGGGAAGATTGTAACAGCAGAAAATAAATAATCTTATGTTTGCAAACCATTACTTAACTCTTTAAGAACCACCAATAGTTTCCGATATCATTTATATTATGTTGCATGTGCATTATTTTATTTGTCACCTTTCACATCATAAATTAAAATTTTTAACCCTTTAAAGTTAAAAGTTTAACCCTTTAGGTCCTTGCTCGTTATTATTTTTACTCCTAAAATATCACTACTATTTTGATCAATAAAACAATATATCACAACTATGATAATATGTATAATTAACTATGTTTTAGTTGAATTTATGAACTGTTACAATTGACCCCGTAAGTGGGGACAATTGTAACAAGTACACGAATGTCAAAAATTGTTAATAACTAATATAATAACATTTAAAATAAGGTTTTTTTTTCTAGTAGAGGATAGTCTACTTTACTCGTCTGTCAATTAATACTAATAATATATTGGATTTTTTGTTAGTTAAAAATAATTAAGTAAAAAATGTTACAATTGACCCCACTGTCCCCTACATTTTATTAAAATTTTAAATATACTTATTTTAAAATAAATTAATTGAAAACCTTGTTTTTATTAATCTACAAATTAGTCATCCAGATTAAAGTATTTTACCTTATTTTATAATCGGTGTTGAGCAGCTGGCCCAATTCTAAGTTTACGACTGTCAATGTTCAATTTCGTAGCCTTGTAATTTTGAACGTATCCCAGAAGGTAAGAGAACTTCTGGATCAAGTAGTGGGATAAAGTAGCCTTCATGGAAGACTTTTTGATAGACCAAACCAACCTCAACGGAGAGTTCAACTCCACTTATGAGCTCTCAGTAGGGATGACGTAGCATGGCTCTTTACGTAGCATGGTTTGGACCAAGCAAATGTTTCTTAAAAATTTTAGGTATTTGTTTCTGGGTATTATGAGTATATTTTTAAAAAATGACGGTAACTTTTTAATTTGAAGCAAGTTTCAAATGAATTCCTCAATGCAAATAATTATAAGAAATTCGCACAGTGTCCTCCATTAGATTAACCATATATATGCTCTTAACATCACATGGTACAGACTAAACAAATGCTTCTTTATAAATTTTTAATGTTTATTTCTTCACATCTATGGGTATGTTTGAAAAATTTCACACATACTTCGTAATCTGAAACATAATTCAAATGAATTCATCATTGGAAAAAGTTACAATACATTTGCAAAGTGCCCCCCTTTATTTTTATATGTATGCTCTTAACGGAGCACTGATTGGACAAAAATTGCTTCTTAAAAATTTCACGTACTTATTTATTGACACATATGGGTATTTTTGAAAATAAAATGAGACTCACTTTATAATCTGAAACAAGTTCAAAACTATTTCGTCACTGCAAAAAATTTTAAAGAAATTTGCAAATTGTTCTTCGTTACGTTAATCATACATATATGTTCTTAACGTGAGTAAAAAAGTCCTTCTAAAGAATTTTGAGTTCTTATTTTTGAAACATGGCATTTTTTTTTTCAAAATGGCTCTCACTTTATAGTTTGAAATAAGTTTCAAAAGAATTCCTCATTACGAAAAATTATAAAAAAATTACAAATTGCTCTTTATTACGTTAACTGCATGTATGCTCTTAACGTAACATGGTTTGGAATAAACAAATGTTTCTTAAACGTGTTGAGTATAGAGAAATTTGAAGCTTACTTTATAGTCTGAAACAAGTTTCAAATAAATTCCTTATTGCTGAAAATTCTTTCAAAAATACCTATATGTGTCAAGAAATAAGTACTCAAAATTTTCAAAAAGGACTGTTTTTCTCCAAACGTGAAGAACGTGATTCTTCTACGTGAAGAACATATTTTTAGTTAACATAAAGGTAGATAATTTATGAATTTTTTCAAATTTTTGGAAATGAGGAATACTTTTGAAACTTTATTCAAATTACAAAGTAAGCGTCAAATTTTTTCGAATAAAGAAATTTTTTTCCCATTCTTTTGGAAAAGATAAGCAACAGAATTCTATAATCTTACTTAAGAAAAATCCTTCCCTTTAGAAAAGATAAGTAACAGAATTCTATAATCTTACTTATATAGAGCCGCGATGGCTCAAGGAATAGAGCGTTCGCCTTCCAATGAGGTGAACCGGGGTACGAAACCTGGCGATGGCTGGTTGTTACGAACTCCGCATTTGGCTTGCACCGACCACAGTGCTGACGTGAAATATCCTCAGTGGTAGACGGTTCATGGATTAGAGTCCCCTTGCAGTCAGGCTAACCATGGGAGGTTCTCGTGGTCATCCTCTCCATGTAACGCAAATGCTGGTTACTTCCATCAAAAAGTCCTCCACGAAAGCCAATTTTTTTTATCAATACTTGATCCAGGAGTTTCTTTGTCTTCTGGATTGAGTTCAAAATTACAAGGCTACAGATTTGAACATTTGTAGTCGTAAACCCAAAAGAATTGGGTTGGCTGCTTAACGATGGTTATAATATAAAATAAAATCTTACTTATATTATATGTTGTTACGAGCCAATAGTTCAGAGGTAGTCTTTATTCTTCCTGCACTATTTAAATAATCAGTTGACACAATTGTTTGTTTTTGCGAGTATATATAAAAACGCAACAGAAAATAAAATATATAAACATATATTTTTACCTTGAAAGCGTACCCCATTTCTTCTGACCATCACCCTTGTCCCTATATCGCCAGGCAATCGAGGACCCCGATCCTTTCCAGCACTTCTCCATCGAGGACCTCTCTCTTCAGGAGCCGCGAACTTCCGTGGATCATAATCAAACTGCCTTGTTCTGAAAAGAGAATAGGATAAATAATCACTCAAATCAGTTGTTAATAAAAAATAATTGTGAGATAAAAATTTAATTTTTACTGTAATACTGTTGACAGTAAGTGCGTGCACTGTAAAACACGGGTACTCAAATATCAAGAAACTTTGTTTTAGATGAAACCGATGTATGCACCCAGCAAACATTTCGTCAAAGTGAGGAAATAACTTTCTTCGCTTCTTCGAAGAAATGAATTTTGTCAAAATTAAAAAAAATATTCTGTACTTAAATTTTTTTCCGGAATAAAAAAACAACCTTGCAGTGCCTTATGTATCGAACTTTTCTTTTAAACACGTTAACATTAGCTTCATGCATCGAACTTTTCTTTTAACCACGTTAACATTAGCTTCATGCATCGAACTTTTCTTTTAACCACGTTAACATAAGCTTCATGCATCGAGCTTTTCTTTTAACCACGTTAACATAAGTTTCATGTATGTGGCACAACACTTTAAGGCAGATAAAACAGAGAGATAAATTACACCCATGCCCGAAGCGGGTTTCGATCCCCGGAACTTCCTGGTACGAAGTCAACTCCTTGACAACCATACACACCGGTCTACGATTTCATAACTTCATTTTCGATTGCCTAGTCTTTATTCTAGCTTCGTTATTCCAGTTAACGTTCTCCCACAATGCCCTTTGATCAATTTTAGAGTTGATTTTTCATTTTTGTCTCATATTTAAAAGTTCGCGTTCTTCAAAAATCGCTTGATTTCGGGACGAAATGGTTCTCAAAGTAACGAAATACTGGTAAAGAATTGCTGAATCGTCAAAAGTAAGAATTTTTTCTTGAGAGTTTGAACATTTCTTATATAAAGGGCGGAAATGCTTAATTAGATATTAAGTGTATTTATCTTTGGTTTTAGAAGATATTTTTAGATTTCCTTTTAGTGAAAGAAAATAATTAAATGGGAGAGAGAGCGAGGTTTATTTTTATAAAAAAATCATAAAAGATGGTAAAGATAATATCGAAATTAAAATTATTGCAAACTTATATAATTAATCAGCTAACATTCGTAGTATTCGTAGTATTTACTAAATCTATGATTTTAGCTGATATTAATAATTCACACCCGCTTAAAACGCTAATTAGGTTCCAGTTTAGTAAGGTAAATTAATTACATTTATATAAAGCGTAATTAAAACTTCTTACGTATATTCTTAAATAATTTGATTGTATACTCTTAATTATCAATTTCTGGAAAGATCGTAAAAGATGTTAAGAAGATCAAAGAGAAAGGAATAATAAATTTGCATTCGAGCTCCGATATTAAATTATAATAATCGCGCGCAAATATTGGAAACACAATCATTTGACGTAATTTGCAAATCTGCATCCTTTCTGTTTGATTATATTGTTACCACTGTGGAATTCTTAGGCTACGTGTTAACTTGTTATTATAAGGATTTGACTTAATGACAATTATGAAATATGGGCTGGATATTATTTAAATTACATTGTAGTTTATGGAAAGTGAATTTCATAAATTGGTTTTGTATAAAACGTGTTGCATTTTGTTTGGTCAAACAAATGGTAATTGTAGCAAATTAATATGTGTATTAAATTATTTTACAATAATTGAAATTGTTTATTTACTATTTAAAACTGATGAGTCAAAGAGGAAAATGTCCGTAAAATAGTCAAAATACACGAAGAAAAATTTTCTGGTAAAATTACGGTAAAGTTTGGTAATGACATTCCTAGCAAAAAAAAACTATAATTCTGGTAATCGAAACCAAAATATACCGTATTTAAACCGTTCAAGAGATAATTATTTAGCTCGTATGGTAGTGGTTCACCAGAAATTCTGGTTTTCAAAAGTATAGCTCTCATTATCACACGTATAGTAAATAATACAAAACTGAAAAGTAAATATAGCCAAATAAATGATTTTTATGCCATGCTCTACTGTATCATAATGAAATTTCCAAACTTAACCATATTTACCAAATTTCATCCTCTATTATAAAACCATATTTAATTTTACCAAAATCATTACCAGAGCGCTTCTGTAAGAATTTCCTAGCCTTTTGGTGTATCCATAGAGCCAGAAACACGGTACAAAAACTACCAAATTTTGGTAGTTTTAATCACATTTTTTCACAGGATGAAATAACAAACAGAAATCAACTATTAAATTATAATTATTTTTTTTTCAAATATCGTTATTACTGTAAATGCAATAACTGTTTAATTACTGCGAATGTGAATCACATAATGAAAGTAATCAAATTTATTTAACTTATGAACTTAATACAAGAATGTTAAAGTTTTTTACATTTATTATTTAGTTTTCTGGACTTATAATAATTTGTCCTTGCATTTCTAAATTCCATTTATACCTTTAATTTAAATAGTAAAATACTTTTTATTTCAATCGGCTAGTTTAACTTTAGAATAAGACCATATTTCCAAATCATTGGATCATTCTTATGCATTAATGAAATATATTGAATCAAACTATGTTTTGCCCAACTTTGATATTAAATTGAATTTTATAGGAAATAAATCTTTAATGGAATCAAATGATAATAAAGTACTTAAAAGTAAGTTTTATCTTTACTTGTTGAAAAAGTTTTTTTCTGTTAAATATGCATTTTTTATAGGATTAACCTCTGTAATTAAATTATTAAATTCAATTCATTACATTGACTAGTTTAATACCTTTTGGTGACGTCATTATGGGATTCATCGAAACAGTGACAGTAAAGTAATTGTATTGAATACTGTTCATTTTTCTACATTTTGCAATAAAAATAAAATTTTAGATAAATTAGCGAATCTTACTCTTAAATACTTGTTTGATGATGTATAACCATCGTTTTCATAATTTTTAAAAAATTCTTACTCTAACTAATATAGGCTAATAAAACTGGTTTTATTTTTCTGTGAACCAAAATTCTATATTTTAAGTCGTAGGTATTTTAGGTTGGTATTTTATTTACATCGCACTAGAGCTGCACAGTGGGCTATTGGCGACGATCTGAGAAATATAGCCGAGGAGGATCTGAGACATGCCATCAAAATTTTGATCTTCTGATGAGGGGATGGCTCCTCTGCTTTGGTAACCCGACTAACTGTGAGCATTTTACGGTAGAACAGTTTAACGAGGACCGATACCGCACACCCTCGGTACCTACTTAGGCTGATCAAAGTAGTTACCCACCCGCCTACTGACCACAATCAGTGATGCTTGATTTCGGTGTTCTACTGGCAACCGTGCTTTTTGTGGGACAAATTTTAAGTGTAAAATACGACTTATCATTATCACTCCTTCTAAGTTTAAATTATTTATTTTTTAATAAAATTAGAAAATGAAAATAATAAATAATTAAAATATATAATACATAAAAAATATAAATAATAAATAATAAAAATAATAATAAATTAGAACGAGAAATAAATGAGCATGAGTGAATTTGAAAAAAATGAGTAAGTATTTGACTTAATTCACTTCAGCGTTCTTATTATAGGAAAGCTCAGAAGAACGGTCATAATCAACTAGTTGTAAAAATTGTGTTTGAGTTAATTTTCGACAAGTATTGAAAAATGTATTACTTACAATTATAATGAGCAATGATAGTGAAGTATGGGAAAAAGAAACGTACTCAAATAAGGAGATAAAAAAATGTTCCTAATTTGTCTCATAATGCCTATTTTCATCATCATATTTGGATGCTTAGTAAATATTATTTTTATTTTCTTAAAATTACTATAAGTTAATCATAGTTTATATATTGTCATAAATTAAAAATATTTAAACTAAACATTATCTCTGAAACAGAAAAAAAAAATAGCACAATGTAACCCCTCGGGAACAACCACTCTTTGTTTTACAGTAAGATGATCATAAATGTAGATTTTGACATCGGATGTTTCGAACTTTTTACTTAATCTTTTGAGTGTACACAGTTAACTGTTGCAAAATTAAATAATAATACTGAAATATATCAAATATATCACATAAGTAACACAATAATTGGTAATTTATATGAACAATCGCAAAATGATTCCAAAAAATTTTTTAGCGTTTCTTTTAAAGCCTTATTAAGCAATTAGGACGAATAAATATTTTATTTTAATTTAGCTGTAATGTAATCAAGCAGCATAAATTAAATAATCAGCGAAGAAAAAAAGTTAATCGTGCATCCATATGATGCAGTTGTTAAAATTTAAATTAGAACACATAAGATTTAAAAGCGTTAAAAATAACTTATTGGTTCTTAAAAATTTAAATCAAAATTCAAAAATGAAATTCCCAAGTTTTAAAAATAAGTTACAAATAAAAATCGTTTCTTTTTATTTACTCAACCGCTGTGGGAATGTTTATGAAGAGGAATTATTAAAACAAATATATTTGCATCCATGTAATATAGTTATAAAAATTTTAATAAATCATCCATGTAATGTAGTTGTTAAGAATTCTAATCAGCATTAGTCAAAAATAGGCGTTAAAAATTAAATTCGAGCACATAAGATTTAAAAGTGTTTACTGTTTTCCAAGTTTTGAAAATAACTTAGAAATAAAAATCGTTTCTTTTTTACTTACTCAAGCACTGTTGAATTCTTATAAAGAAGAATTATGATACATCCATATAAGTTTAATAATTCTGATTATGCATCCATATAACTTAGTTGTTAAAAACAAAATTCCGACATTTAAAATTTAAAAGCGCTTCCTGATTTCCAAGTCTTAAAAGTAACTTAGAAATAAAAATCGTTTATTTTTTACTTACTCGAGCACTGTGGAATTCTTATAAAGAAAAATTATAATTTATCTATGTAGTATAAGCTCAATAATTATAATTATGCATCCATTTAATTGTTGAAAATAAAATTCGAACACATAAGATTTAAAAACGTTTTCTGATTCAGCAGTCTTAAAAACAACTTACAAATGAAAATCGTTTCTTTTTTACTTACTCAAGCACTGTGGAATTTTTATAAAGAAAAATTATAA